GAAATAGCATCCTTTGTTCTAACAGAATAGTCGGGGCTTGTCAATCCAGAAGATTTGTGCCTTGCTGAACATAATGGCATTTTATTACATAGTTTATTTCTGCCTAGCATTCTGAGACTCCCGCTGATGCTTTGACTCAGAGTAGTTTTTGGTTTGGAAACATGAACTCCAGTGTCACAGATTGCTTCTTTCTTTTGGTAATTCATATATTTTTTTTTTATTTTTTTTTTTAAGTTAATGAATGTTCAATAAAGAAAGCATTTGGCCAGACAGAAGTTGTGTCTCAAACTGTGAACATCTAAGCATTGCTGTGTGAAAATAGCAGCCTTTCTTTTCCCTCCCTTCATCTTCTGTTGGTGCAGTCAGCCCAGCCCGTTGCTGACCATAGATGAGTGAGTTTGTGTCTGTAGCAGCTCTCTTGCCTTCCTCAGTGATGCCTCAGCAAAACATGGCCCTTGTTCATGCATGAGGGACACTCAAATCCCAGTGTGCCCACTGAAGACAAGGAGAGTAACTCTTGCATGATGTTAGGGACATGTTTGTAGAATAATGCATGTGGGTTAACTATGGCCATTGTCTGAAGTTGTGTATTGGTCCAGTGTTTGAAACTAGCCCGTTGCAAGACAAGTCCTGCAACATTTTTACTGTTTTTATTATAACACATATGCTGAAGGATATCATAGTGAAGCTGGATTCGAGAGACATGTATTTATATGAATGCAAAATAAGTGGGAAATTTCCTACTTATCGAGTACAATTATGATAGAAGTAACCTTAACTACAACTACAGTCTTATACGCTGCAGCTTAGTTTTTCCTCTATAAAATAGCATGCATGGTTGAGAATTTTGGCTATGCCATTCCACATTCAGTTGTGACATTGTGAACATTCATTTTATATCTTCCTTTTTGCAAAGCTAAAAGTGTTCATCAAAACATTTCCATCTCTACAATAATTTAAAATACTAAAAACAAGGGCTAAATTTCAACGTGGCTGTAAAATGTCTTCAGATCTTCACATACGTTTCTATATGCATGTGCCTGTTGGTAGAAACCTTGCATGCATGCTCGTGCCATACAGCTTGTTCCTGAGTGACTTAATCTTTTAAAAAGATATGCAGTCGCATCTCCTGAGAATATCAAACATAAAAACATGGATGTATGAGTAAATCCACTCGGATTTTGGCATGTGCTTGTGGAAAAAAGTCGCCTAGGATTTATTTCATTGTTTTGATGCCTGGGATGCACTTTGCGTTTTATGTGCAGCAGTTTTGTGCCCTGTCTACATAGAACAATGGGGCGCTGTGTTTGGGATTCCTGAGCGGGTTATACATGATTTATCTCAGACACTGGCCGTGTGCAGTTACCCAGGAGAAAAGCAAGCAGTGCTGTGTGCTTTTCCCAATAAATGGGCACTCATTTAGAATTATTGCCAGGATCTGGCAGTGGCACTACTTCATGCTGTGTGGAAGTACCTTTGAGCAGAGTTACACGTAAATCACTCGTAACGGGCTGAGGCTGAGTTCTTGAGTTTTAACTCAGGAACTTGTACAGCCCACGCTGCAAACATCAACACGTTGGCCATTATTTTCTAACCAAATCCTAATGCTGTTCTAGTAAAAGAAATCTCTGCTTTTATGCTAACCAAATCAAACATTCCGAACCTTAATGAGTGAAATTTCATTGCTGTTCAATCTTTAAAGCGCATATTAATCACAAAACACAAACACACATTAATTACAAAAAATCGAAGCCTGAAAATTAGGATGTAGATTGTAATTATTCTCAGAAATTTTTAATTTTTTTATCTACATAATATATGGAAAAGGAAAGCGACCAGTTATGGCTGTGGTAGAGCCATGCCTCGTGCACCGCACTGCCTCCTCTCCTGCCAGCAGAGGGGTACTTCAGGCAGGCTGGGGGCAGCACTCACAGCTCTTCAACCACAGGCACTTAGTAACTTAAATAAGAAAAGGATTACTGCAGTTGTTAATCTTAGCAATAGCTGTGCAAGCACTCTTGGAGCACTTGGCCAGCCTTTAGTTGCTGCTCCTTGTCACAGATTCTGAAGGAAGCATTTTCTACATCTTTTGTGTTCCCCTGCCCGGATAAGAAGGATATTCTTAAAGCAGTTTTATAGACAATGAAGATTCTCTCATACTTAGTCGTAATAGCACAGACATGTCAGACGAAACATTTACAGTATATTGCTGGCTGAAAATCTAGAACCATCTGCTGATGTGTGGACTATTTGGTAATATTCAGATACCACCATTTCTATCTGAGTGCCCATTCTGCTCAAATCAATAAATACCGCTCCACATTTAGTTGACAAAAAGCTCTCAAATTTCAGATTGCAGATCACATTTGAAGAAGAAACAGAAATAAAATAGTGAGTTTGAGAATGCAGTGTCTGGGCTGATAGATAGTAAAACAGGACATTTAACCAAACTACGATATTAGTCACATATGTGCAAAAAATATAGAGAAAAAAAAACGAATGTTCCTTTGCTGACTGTGTGAATCTCTAGGCTACAGAGACTTAATGAAAGGACAAAATTTTATTTTGTCCCACTTTCGAAGTCCAGTCTTTTGTTTTTATATCACTGTTTTCTATAATTAACATCAAGAGTGTTTATTTTGGTTAAAATGAAGAACTTCAACAGAGCAAGAAATAATTAGAGGGCTATTGTCTAAGAAATTATGAAGTAATGGCCTCGATCCATTAAGATGAGGCCAAAAAATGCATCAAGAAATTTTTTCAGGGAAGTTAAGCCTAGAAAGATACCAAAATTCTGAATTTATTGCAGTTTCAACATGGAACTCAAAAGTAGGGTGTGGATCAAATCTGCTGTTGCAGATGATGATGTGATGTGGTACTTGTAATTTTTCCTCAGAGTGTCTCCTGTTCTTTCATCTTGTTAACTTTGCTTTATTCCAGTGAGCATTAGTGTACTGTAACTTTATTCTTATTACTCCCATTAAAAATAAACCTACCGCATGCTAAGCAGTTCAGAAACTTTCTCAGAAGTTTCTTTTTTTCTGTATGCTCTCTACAATGCGTAGTTTTCTAGGTCACCAGATTTTGCCTCTTGTGCTATGTCATATTTGCAGGACACAATCTTCCTTGTCAGTTTTTCTGCCCCATTTCTCCACATTGCTTTTCCATAACACATACTGGTCAGAATATCTAGCTTGCAACTAGATACTGCAGTTGTGAAGTCTTGATAAGTTCTTGTCATAACAGTAGTCCTTGACATTTAAAGAACTTCAGTTTATATATGCAAGCCAAATTTCATACCTTCATACTTCTTTCGATTAATCAAAGTTAAACCATTGTATATGTGAAGGGGCCTCTTGTGGTTTCTAAGTAAGTAGTATGGCTTTTCTGGCAGAGAGCCATAGGCAATTTAGTAGGCACGTACTGTGGGGGTTGAGAGAGGAGGAGAGACAGGGATAATCCAGAAAGCTTTAATAAGGCCTGAGTGAAATCAGTGTTTCTATACTGACTGCGAGAACTTTGCATTCTGTATCCAACTTTTGGCCACAGCTGAATTATTTGGTTTTTTTTTTGTTTTTTTTTTTTTGTTGTTTTTTTTTTTTTAATGTGTTGTCAGTAAATTAATTCTGTAATACAACAACGATTTGGTTTTCCTCTCACTAAACCAGTCTTGCACTGATTTTGCTTCTCTTGAATGATTCCCAGTTTGCACCTGTGGCAGGGAAGATACAGGCACAGTGAATACAGTATGCATGGTTTGTGAATCAGTATCATCAATGTTGCTAAATCATTTCCACAGGAACAACATGGCTCCTAGTTGTTCTCAAAGATAATTTTGTAGCCCACGTTTAAAGGTGAGGCTTTCTCACGTAACCTTTGCCTGAGATCTATACAGCTGTAAATAGATACTAACATAAAAGGTCTGTCTCCAGCAGAGCTGATCTCTCTTTCCATTTCTGACAGGGGTCACATAGCCAATGTAAATTACCACCATAAACCAAATTCCATCTTTCTTGTAGAACAAAGTGCTTGATCTGCCTGTCTAGAAGCTGGGAGCTACATAGCAGATTGTAATATTTCAGCAATTCAGCATGAGTGGCAACGTGTTCTTAATAATGAAATGCTGGCAACATTTAACTTAATTTTGTCTCGACATATTAAAATCCATCCTTTCTGTAGGGGATTTAAGAACTATCTGAAGGGGGACTGAAGACAAGAAAAATAATTCAAGTAGAAGCAGTAGCTTCCTCTGTATTTCATGCAAGAGTCAGGTTTAACATGCACATCTTGACATTAGTAAAGAACGAGTTACTCTTAGAAAAAGATAGCCTAGACATCTCAGGAAGAATGCGAATTCTTCACCATACTATCTGTCATTTTGATTTAATTACAAAATCAAATTAAAATATACGACAGAGTGTAGCCATGCCAAGTAAGTTAGTGAATTTTATTAGATATGGCATTTCAATTGAAAAATGAAAACTGTTACTGCCAGGGTTTTGGAGGTGTAATGACTTACATGGATGTTTTATAACCAAGCTACACAATGTTAAAAATGACATCTACCTTTGAAACTGTGACTTGAAACTAGGTTCTTGTAATTGTGTAGGTATAACATCTTGAATTCAGTCTAAAGGGCTGTAGGGACTGGAGAACATAGCATTTATAAATTATCCAACAGTTGACTTAGAAAATTTGGCCCTAGTACAATATGTGACTACCTAGAATATTTTACACAATCCTTGTTTTGTATTAAAGATGAATTCAATGTAAATGTTTGGAATTCTTCTTACAAACTTGTTGAAAAGGGACAATATTGTAGCATGACTCCCTTGTACAAACCTGGTGTTTAGCAGATTACGTATGTTATTCTGTTATAGGTACACTACAATGATAGACAAAATGGCAAAGAGTGTATGACCTGTTTGACACTGTCTCCTGTGCAGATGACTTTCCAAGGTATCGGAAGCTCCATTGAAGCCAGCCATGACCAGGTATAATACCTTCACCCACACTCCTGTACTTTTATTACTATCTAGTAAGGCCAGAATGTCAGCATTAGTAAATTTATACATAGACACGTCTTTTGGTGTTTGTATGGCATGTTTGTCAATGGGATTTGCCTATCTCACCATAGTAAAATCCTGAATCTCTAAAGAATTCCTGAAAAGGAGGCAGAACTATGTTCCCTTTTATAGATTCTTAAGACATATTAGGAAAGCCTGAAGAACTTGCTTTGTTTTTGTAGTAAGGTTTCTGCAAAGGTCTTGTTTTATTTTAAATATGTATCACTTCTTGTCTATCTTATTTTTACTGAAAGACTGTGAGTAGCTGGGAAAACAAAGAGGTGAAGCCGTCATCTCTAGCCATCATCTGTCACAAAGAAACTGTCATTTTAGAGGGAAAAGGGATTTTCAGTCAGGCTATATGAAACTCCCATTTTGTTTGGCTGTTGTTAAAATGTTTAATTCAAGCTTTGGGCGAACAGCCAAGAGAAAAAAATGTCACTCATCACCCTACTGCTTCCGATGGGAACTGAGGGGGACTTCCATTCTACTCCTTTCCTCCTCCATTGCTCTTATGTGTAAAACCAAGATAAGACGGTAATACTGCACAAATTTTCAAAGGAAAAAGGAAAAAAGTACAAGAAAATTTTAAACTGCACCTTGCACCTTTTAGATATTTAGTAGATTGGGAAAAGTACCATTTTTATTTGTCTTTGCAGACCATCTTTAAATTGTGCTATGCTCACATTTACCATATACATTTAATCAGAATCTGTGCAAGAAAAGGGAAGTCACCTGAAGAATTATGAGAATTAGTTACCTTTGGGGAAAAAGTTCAGACACTTAGCCATATTTTAGGTTGATGGTTTGTCTTTTTGTTGTTTTTTTTTTTTTTCCTTGTTTTGTTTTGTTTTAATTGGAAGTCCTTGAGTTAGTTGTTAACATAAACTGAGCCCATTAGTTATTTACATGGTAACATGAGGATACTTCCTGTCCTTAAGTGTTTGATGTTTTACAGTAATGGAGAGCTGGGGTAAGTCAGACAACTTCAACAGACGTATTCCATTGAGTCCTCATTTCATCCAGCAACTTGTTTATGCTGTTCTAAATCCGCTCAGTTTTTCTTTCAGTGAAGATCGCCTTTTAAAATTTTCTTATGTCTCAAATACAATATTTAGACATTTCCATGAGTATAAGGTGGTCCCTGTCAACTTGCTAACAACTACATTCTGGGCTACCAGCCAGCTTGGCCTTTGTCTTAGCATTTATTTAGGCTAGAGTATGATATGTAAACAGAAAAAGACTTTGTAAGCAAAAAGTACGTTTAAGTCATCTAAATAATTATATATTTAAGAAGTCTAAATGAAAAAGTGTTACTGAGCTTGAAAAGTTAAGCAGCTAGATATTAGGAAATTCCAGATTATACGCAGCATTAGTTTGATCCCAGAGTACCCATTCAGTGCTAAAAACAGGACATGCTTCTGGGAGGAGAGAGACTGCATTAAAAAAATGTAGCTAAAGATTATATTATTGGCTGTACACCAGTGGGTAGAATTAAGTCTGTTTGGGCCATTATGAAGCTAGAATTTCCTAATCTTGCTTCAGCTTGCAGTTTAAGTAATGTTCCTTCATCGTTTCTTTTAGTTATGTAATTTTCCACATAGCTTTTAAAAAAGAGAGAAAAATGATTTGTCATTGCATGATGGGGTGGTTGTTGCATTACTGAACCCACATCACTTGTGCAAGGATTTCATCTGAGCTGGGAGCAGTAGAAGATAATCATCACAAAGCCAACGGCCAATTCTTGGATCACAGAAGAGGTCCACATGCTGGTCAGGAGGCACAAAGTTCTGCTCATCCCTTTTCTAGATGTGAAAGGCGCCCACTTTTGGGGGAAGGAAGATGCTCCTGACAGCTTTAGTTTGGCATGGGGAATGGCAGGACTGGGTTAGCATTATTTGCCATCACATAAATAAATAGAGAAAAAGTACTAATTAGTAAACAAACAGAACCTACATAGTGTGTTGGCCAGGCGCTGGAATTAATTAGTGATGGAACTGATCTCCTAATGGAGTGATAAAAAAGTTCCCATTTCTTTTTAATTTCTATGTGATTTGGTATGATTTTACTTTTTACTTTTTTTTCCTACGACTTCACTTGCAGCAGGCTTATGTGGAACCCTTATTTTTATAAATATAAGAAGCAGAACTGCTGTACATTGTTAAGCTGAGTTGTCCTCATTTTGAAGTTTCAGATGGAATAAATGCAAGGTAGCCATATACTGCTATAAAACTGCCTTTAAGTCAGTTGCTATTTCTGCATGATCTATTTTGCACTGTATTGTAATTCAGGTGGGCTGCTCACGTGGGCGCCTCTAATTTCGGTGGAGATGTGTGATTTGTGAGCTGTGAGCAGCTGTGAGGCCTGGCATAGTTTAATTTAAGGATCTGTCTCCTTCTGTGTTTATGAAGATAATTATACTCATGTTAAATGTAAAATATCAGTTCTCTAAATTCAGTTAATGTTTTTTGTTGGTTTGTTTGATTGGTTGGTTTGTTTTAGTGGAAATCTGTCTCAGTAAGACTGGAATTGTTTCAGTGTGAGAAGGTAGTAGAATCTGTTATGTGAGTGTGTCTGATAAGACAAATGTATACCAGAATTGTCATTATGTTGTGGCAAAAAGGCTACAGCTGACCAAATACTTTGACCAAAAAAAAAGAAGCAAAAAATAAGAAAATCAGGTTTCCAATAGTCTGCTTTTGAGGCTGAATTGCCTTTTGTAGCATAGAAAACTCACTTTTCACATCCAGTGGGAGATTTGTACCCAACAGATCCCAATGTTGCTGCAGTCCTATGTAAGTGTATTACTTTGCTGTTTCAAATTTACCAAGTCTTGACACAGCACTTTTCAAAGTCACTTGCTCTTTTCCTATTCATGGTAGGAAATTTGTCTTTTCATTCCTTAGGCTGTTTTAGATTCTGTGTTTGATAGGAGTAATTCTTTTGTTGTTGTTCCAAATGCTCCATCATTTGAGCAATTTCAGATTGTAACAAATTGTTCATACTGGTACGTTAATGAGTGTGGATTCCAAACATCTGTCTGACAGAACACATTTCATTTGGTTACGTAGCAGTATTTTCAAAGCTATCACTATTTTTTCATTTTTCTTTTGGCAAACAGTAAGAAAAAAGAGCAACATTTCTACAGTGTAACTGTAGAAGTCAAAGTTTGTTTTGTTGGGTTTTGCATTCATGTATGCCTACTTCCTTAGCAGAAGCGTCATGATTTTTAGAATATTTTTTCATGATTTATTTCTTTTTCTATTCTGTTGTGCAGTATCTAACTGCATCCTTCTAAATTTCTTTTTCCTTAATGACCACTATTATTTAGTTGGCTTTTGTTTTGTTTTGTTTTGTTTTCACTAGAACTCAGCTACAAGCTACTTTTACTTAAAATAGTCACAGCTTGTAGTAAGTAGCACAAGTTTCTAGAGATGTTCTCCACTCAGTATCAATTACAGGACTTGTTATAATGATATGTAGGTTAAATTTGACGATTTGTGGAATACAAGAAGTCAGAATTAACATAGTTTTAAGTATAAAAGTGATGCTTCAACTTCATCTTGAACAGCTTTCATATCTGCACATCCGTTTTGCAAACTTGCAGTTAGTATTTACTGTCTTTTGTGACTTTGTAATGGTTGGTGCTTTTCTCAGTGTTTCATCTCTGAATGTGGGACCTCAGGAACGTAAATACCCCTGTGCTTCCCATAACTGTGAAGAAAATCCTGAAAAAAGGGATATCTTGGGTGCAATCTTAAGGCTTGTAGAGAAGCAAACAAATTGAAAGTAAGACCATTTGTTTTAAAATGAAATTATTTTAAAAAGTCCATCCTGGTAATAGAGAAAACAGGTTAAGCCCATCCTGAGATTTTCAAAGCTTGCCATAGAATACTCTGCTGTTACAGCTGAGTTTTTAACCCCCAGATAATTTGATGTTCATTGTGAGATTACCAGTTTTCTACATAGATTTTAAGAAGCAGCTCAAAGACCAATGTATTTTTTTTTTAACTCTCATTTTTTTAGTACTTCATGATTGTGGAGTCTTGAAGGTTTGCTTGTTTTTTGAAACTGGCAGTGCTACCTATTTGTTACTAACTTTTGCTTCAGCCAGCAGTCTCTATGACATGTGCTGTTAAAGGAATGAAAATTTATCTTTTATGGTCATATCTTGAATCCATACCATCTTAATTGTATTCATTGCGTAAGTTTTGTGTTAGATCATGTTTTCTGAATTCTCCTACACATTGCAATGCATAAGATAGAACTTTATTTGTTAGGGCAACAATTTGGTAATGTTATATATAATCATATTTATATTTTAGTATAAATATAACTGGAGAAAAAAAATAAGCAGGGTCAGAAGTAGGAGTGGAAGACTTATGGGTGAAATAGACTTGGTGAGACAACCCAGCATGGATGGGAAGGCTGTCCTGAAAGGATGCTGCTGCATGGAGCTCTTTCAAAAACTGCTGGTGGAAAGACAGCAGCAGCAAACAATGAAATGAAACGTGCTATGTAGGAAACTGTCACTGTTGGTTGTCATCTGCAAACAGATGTTCCTGGGCAACGTTAAGGCCTTATGGTGATACCTGAAGGTGAGCAGCTTCTGGCGAGGTGGCAGTAGTTTTCTGGGGACAAAAGGCCGTGGGGATGGCCTACAGGCTTGAGACATTAAAACTTAATCCATACGGAGGTCCACATGTCTCTATTTTGTATGCTCTGAGTTTGTAGAGCATGCTTAGGAACATCATCGAGGGAAGTTACATCAGCTGGAGTCACTGACTAACCTGTGAGAAAAACAAGCACAAAAGATTAATGGTGCAGTCAATGATGATATAGAGGATGGGAATTCATCCAGTGCTGTAACCATCCACATCAGAAAAGGAAAAAAAAAAAGATTGTTTTACTGGATATTGCATTAATTCCTGCTTGAAATGAATTTCATTCTGGACTGAAATTAGTGTTTTCTAAGTGTTCAGATTTACTTCTGAGTAGACATTTTTTATCCTGGACATAGTAAAAAAAAAAAAAAAAAGAGAAAATGCTAGGGTTTTCTTTTAAAAATACAAGTATTTCTTCTTTCAGCTGGTATTGTATGTTTCCATTGTCGGCTAATTTCTGCTTTATTTACTGTCAATTCAGTGCTCATCTCTCTGGGGTGATTTCCTCAATAAAATGAGAAGGATTTAGTATGATGCACGGAAAACTTCTGGTCGTTTTTCCAGGGCTGGGTGATTCTGTCACATTCCCTTCACTACGAGGACTCCTACCTGCTCTTGTGAAACCACCTCCTGCAGCCGAGGTTGCTGCTGTGCTGGTGTGAGCTGGCTGGCTGCTGCCATTTCTCTGACAGCTCCATAACCTTCAGGGCATGGCTAGAGCTGAGCGCCTGGTGCTCTCAAGGAGACAGTTTGCTTGTGACAGAAATATAAACTGCTTTTGATATATAGCACCAAGCTTCGCTCCTCTATCATTGTGTTGGGAAACTTGCACCTCTTAAGGCTGACACTGCAGTCAGGAGTCATCCCAGCAGGTTTAGGTTAGGCTCACCAGGTTGTTGTCTGCTATTTTGTACTTTCTTCCTTGTCTGCTGTGCTCCCCACAACTGCACGACTGCATTAGTACGCTGTCTCCGTAGCCTTCATCTTCTGTTTCACATTAACTCACTCTGGATGTACGTGACAGAACATTTGCTTTTCCCTGGCAGCAGCTGAAATTTTCCTTGATGAGCCTGAGATCAAATGTCTGTATTTGCTCAGAATGTGTAATCTTTCATTTTCCAAAAGTGAGTTACTAATTAACTGTCAAACGGGAACAAAATGTAAACCAAGACACTGCTGTCTCCCAGACCTTTCAGTGCTCTCATCTGGGGCTCCTTGAGCAGCATCCTAATGTGAATGCCACTCACTGAAGATGCAGAACAAGAATGTTCAGTGCTCTGTGTAGGTATGTTTGTTTAATGTCAGTGGGGTATAAAATGCTACTGTTGCAGACTGTGGGTATCTTACATGTTTGTCATGTAAATGATGACGGCTGCCTGTATTTTGGGGTCTGTTTCCTACTCTGTTAAAAAAAATATCATGAGGTATCCATGTGACAACTATACATAAAGTTTCACAACAGTAGCGAGGTTCACAGAATCACAGAATACCTGAGGCTCACAGGGCCCTCCACGTCCAACTGATCCAAATTATGCTCAAACAGGGATACCCAGAGCGGGATGCCCAAGCCCATGTCCAGTCAGTCTTTGAGTATCTCCACTCCACTTGGAGTATCTGGGAGTCTTCACCATGGCTGTTTCCTTCCCTTGACTTCCTCTCTAGCCCTGGCTGTTGATTCTTCTGCTTCCTAAACCACTGAGCTGGTAAAAAATTAACTCAAGTTTTTAGCCTGCTGAGTTGAACTGGCCCACTGAGAGTGAGAGGAGTACTAGAGCCAAAATGAGGGAGATATCAGGACATACCAGATATGACAAGTAAGATGGAATGGGTGGCATGCACTATTCACAGCAGCCAGCCGGTTGATCAACTTCCTATCTCATAAAATGTCACTTGAAGATGGCATGGCAAAAATTAACCCTGTAGAAAGTTGATTTTATTGTATAAAAGTTTGGCTTATTTAGCATCTTTGAACCTGTTCCCTGTTCAGTACCATAAAGGAGAGAACAGGATTGCAAACAGAAGGAGAAAGAGCAGGATCATAGCATCTCTAACCTCAAGCTCATAACCTAGAGAATTCTAACTGCTTTGGATGTGCACCCTTAGTTGTTGCTTGTATTAAAATACCTAAGTGGGCTTTCAGTTCAGTGCAACATGTGGAAATGAAAAGAAAAGCATTAACAACATGCAATGAACCAGCTTTCCAAGGACCAGCTGCTTGCTGTCCTTTGTAATGTGTTTCTAGTTTATTTTGTTTTACTATTACTTTAGGCTCATCAGGCCAATTGTGAAATAAAAAATCTTGATTTTTTTTGCTGCTGCTATTGATGTTAGGGAAGGCAAGAAGATAAAGGTACAGGAGAAACTTGGGAAAGCTGAAAGTGTCTGTTTTCTGCTTTTCACACTGCAGCAGGATATTCAGCCCATTTGCAGTATCAAGAAATCTAACGGCTTTTTCCTTGGCAGGAGCAACCAGCAGGAAGACAACAGGGGTAGGTTCTTCTACTCAGTAGTTAAAAATGAATAGACAGAGTCCCACTAGGCAAAAGTTGGTGACAGAGATGAAGTGAAAGTGGACTCCTCTAGAAGCTTGTCTTGCAGTTGGGATTGACAAGGTCTCATCTTTCATCTTGGCCTCTAATGAGCAGCATTTTTTGTCTAATAGCTATATTTGTTTCAGTTTCTATGTCTGGTAAAGTTTTCCAAGACATTGAATTAAAGCTAACGCTCAGTCAAAATGCAGTTGCCTATTTTAAAGGCACTTCCATTTTAGACTGGTACTAGGAAAATATACACACTACTTTATTGCTTACACTGTACTTTCTGAGTTATTTTTCACACTCTAATCAAAGTAATGCCATATCTGTTTGCTGATATGTTTTTAATCACTTGTCGTTCAAATAAATTGCTTACCACACTAATTATATAATTGGCATTTCATCATGCATTTCCTTAATACTTCTACAAGACAAAATAATGGTTTACACATGTTGCATCTGAAGAATTGTGCTTTTGCCAAAATTGTGTTTGCCACCTAGCTTTCTCACTCCACTGTTTAAATAACATGACATGGCTGGCATTATGCATTCAAGTGCTACAGAGTTTCTGAGCTTTTTGTCTGAGTAGTCATCATACAACTGGACCTACACAGTGCAACCAGGAACTGAATGTGACATCCTATACCCCTTCATTTCAAAGAGGCCAGGATGTCATAATTAATCTTCTGACAATAGAGAAATGGAGGAGGTTGGGTTTTATAAATAATTGTGGGGGAATAGTCATGCTTATATACTGTGAAAGACATCAGGACAGCAAAACAGACCACTCCCTTCTGTCACTGGTTTCATTTGGTCCCAGTGGTACAGTAAGGGACTGTCTGCTCAGAGTTTTAAAAACTCTTCCTTTTTCTGTTTAAGATAGGCCTACATTCTGTAACCAGCCTGGTGGTGGGCTAGTGTAACTTCTGTGAACTTAGACTCTTTTCCAGCACCACCTTCCCACAGCCAACTCTTGTTATCTGTGTCTACAGAGCTTAAGCACTCATCTGTATGTAGTTTGGCCCATGTCTGTAGTGCTAAAGCACTTTTCTCAGTCTTTTAGACAAACTTGTTTATATTTTGGGCAGGGATAGGATTACTGGGAGAACAAAGGAATAGTCAAGTACTGGGAAGAGCGTCAAAGTAGTCATGCATACATGCTTTGTGCAGATTGTGGCAAGCTCCTGTCCCGTTTGAAGTTCAGTTCTGAAGTTACTCTCCTAGCTATGCATCTTGGGGTGTGAACTGGTGCATGAAAGATCCGGATCTCTGCAGAGCACGTGGAAGTTTGGGAGTTTTGTTTAGAAGCACCAAGATTAAATTCAATTCCTACAAAGTTGTGCAACAGCATCTTGCTTACTTCCTTGAACAGTTTTTTGTATTCTTGAACAGAAATGCCTCGAAGAGAAAGAGCTGAAGATTTTCCCATCTTGATTACTAATGATTTACCTGAGAAAATGATTTAACTTTTTTCTACTGTTGCAGTCACTGCCCTGATTATAGAGAGAAGTTGTCAGACAGATCCAGGGAAAAAGGTGTTTCCATTCTTTAGTAGAGCCCCGCTAACATAACAGTTTTCTTTTGACTCCCAAATTCATTTCGTGCACAGTTTTTGTAATGTGGAGTCACACAGTGAGAACATTCACCTGTTTGAGACAGGAAGAAAGGAGTCACTGTCTGGCCTTCTCTGAAGCGTCAAATGTGTGGCATACTCATTTAATGCAGGAGCTCCTGCATCCCCAGAAGCTTCTCATGTACTCATTTTCTCCATCTTGTAGCATTACAGACTGCCTGAATTCCAATATTGATATGTCTCATTCCAGCGAGATCCTTCACATATGCTAAGTGTAAGAGTGCTTCCAAGTAATTTACTCTCTCAAGGATCCAGTGCTAGAGATAATAAACACTAAAAAGGAGATATCGAGCAAAACCAAAACAGTGAACTCTTAAGTTAAACTTTACATTTCATACGTATTTCTTTATATCCACTCTTTCTCTTTCCCATCATTAAAGAGACTGGGAGACCTAGTTTTTCACAGATCCTTACGGCTGTACAAATAATTGATTTTACAGTCCAAAATCTCCTGTCTCATCCTTCATCCCCTCAAAAAATAGTTCAAATTGGTCCAAAATAAAGAAGAAAATTATCCCCGCCAAGAACAATAACTCATTTTGTACATGGGCTTTTGTAGTGAAACTAGAAAATTGGCTGAGATTTACAAAAATTGTGGGAAAGATGATGAATTATTTTGCCTACTGGCTCTGATGTTCATGCACTCACGCAAGATGCAGATGATGTAAATCTTACTCTATCCATGTTGCCACCTCATGCTAAATGGCAGGAGAGTTGGGTAGTCACAGGCATGTGAAGCAGTAACCTTGGCATGGCCATCTCTTCTTTCACTGTTTAAACAGAATACTCAGCAGGGCTGCGTGAGCTGAAGAAAATGAATCTCATTTCATATACCCTACAAGAGAGCAGCTATTCTGTAAACTGAGAAGGATTCAGATTCTGTAAATCAAAGTCCTTCCCTGTTGGCTATTGGGCGAATCAGGTTGTCCAAGGAGGTTGTGGATGCCCCACCCCTGGAGGCATTCAACGCCAGGCTGGATGTGGTTCTGGGCAGCCTGGTCTAGTGTTTGGAGACCCTGCATGTAGCAGGGGGATTGAAACTAGATGATCATTATGGGCCTTTTCAACCCAGGCCATTCTATGATTCTGTGATTCTATGATCTTGCACTTTTGTTTTAGCCAGAAATGGCCAAAGCTAAGAAAGCATAACAGATAACATCCCAAGACTGGGAGCAGATTTGGTCAAGGCAACACTGCTTTCTCCAGTGTATGTATTTTTAGGACAGCACGTGCTTGCCCCCAGGCAAGGCCCGGAGAGCAGCACACATCCAGCTGGTGGCGGCATTGCCAAACCTCCATGCCACTGCTAAAAATGGGTGGTAGTTCCCACATGGGTCACTTGGCTGCCAGATTGTCTGCAAAGACAATTTCAGGTAGTAAGACACATTCAGCTGGTCTCTGCAGCTCCCAGCAGCACCCAGGAAGCCTCCCTTCTGTAATTCCTCTGAGCATAACCTGCAGACAAATTGAAAGCTTCCTTTCCTCAACAGTATAAAAAAGCGTCGCATTTGTGTCAGGAAGTTTAAAACCGAGTTGCATGGATTTATAGGGGACATCTTGGCACATATTTATTGCTAAATCTGTTACACTGTCAGCGTTGCTCTAAGACGGGTGCTGAAGGCAGGATTGTGTGTGCTGCTGGCACTGGTGCTGCAAGCAGTCCCAGTCCCTGCACCTGTCACGCCTCAACTATTCACATGAAAAGCACACCTATTACTGATACACGTCTCCTCCCAGCAGCTTAAAGATTCCAGCTGCTTTCTGAGATCATAAAAGGCCTGCTCAACCATGACTTCAAAATGCCAGGCTATTCAGCAAGCCAGTCCTATTTCAGACTACTCCCTGAGTATTTCATACTTCAGCGTTGTTGTAAATAATGGCGGTAATTTTTTTCCAGCAGAGCATGCTGTGTGAAATTATGAATTGAGGAGATTTCCATGCTGTTGTATTTGATTCAGTACCCCATTGTCACTGATGTAAAGTGTTGCACTGATACACTGTCATTCATTTCGTGGGACAGCAGGACCTGTATGAGGCTTTGCTCATGCACGTGAGCCTTCATAGTGTGCCTCAGTTTATCGGTGCAGGATCTAGGGCTGGATTTTGGAGTGTGCTGGAGAACAGGATCATTCTTTCAAAATCAAAATTAAACAGGGATCAGTGTGTGAGAACTTTGTTTCAGTCCTCTTATGCATGTCCGTCCTTATAAGGAAAATAATAGAGGAGGGGGAAAAAAAATACAAAGGAGCATTTGGTATAATTTTCTAATTTCTGCATAATAGTTAAGCAAGGAGACACAGGTTTTAGAGGGAGTTGAGGAAGGGAAAAGAAGGAATCAAATGTTGGCTTGACCCCAGAATGTTTAAAGCCTGATTTGCCCTTACAGAACAAAAATACCAGCACAGAAGTCTAACATGCTGGGAAATATTACACAACAGTGCAGACATGTCAAACTACCTTGAGAAAACCTGCAAAAAGTTGAAAGGTTTTTGGCCCTCATGTAAATGAAATGGATCTTGTGGCATTATTTTTGAACTCTTCTGATACGTAACACTGGAAACATTTTTGATCAAATAGCTTTTCTCAAGCAATTACACATTCTTAATTTAGAGGCCAGTTCAAATGATTGCTTGTTACCTTCATTTAGCAAAGGTTCCACTGCTCTGGTTTTCTGATCCTTTTAAAAAAGGCAAACAGGGAGAGTTTACACAATAATTTTTTTTTTTTTTTTTTTTTTTTAATTCTCAAATTAATTATTTTGAAATATCTCACGGATTACATCAGTTTCTTACTTGCATTCATGTTGCAAGATGGCGACTATTGTATATTGCTAGTGATGCATTAAATTAGTTGTTTACATTATAAAATCTAAACATGTTAGAATCTTTTGTGTTTGTCTTCAAAGATTCCTATTCTAATAAAGCTTTCTGAAACAAGTAAGGTTGTCTTTTTTGTTTAGTTAATGCATCAGTGGAGAACCTAAAGATTTTGTAGCCTTTAGCCATCCCTGTCTGTGTTTAGTAGAGTGTAAGGAAATTGTGTTTGGGACAATATGTATTTTCATTTAAAATGGGAAGTTATACTTTTTAACTTAAGCATTTTTCCATTTAGGCAGAGTAACACCTGAGCCAAATGTAGGCAGAAAGTGTCAAAATTCATCCTCTTTCCTCAAGGACTCTGATTAGCTGTGGCTTTTAATTGCAGTAAAAGTGGTACATATAGCATATTGAAAAATAAGATTTTCGCTGCATCCTTCCTATTTCTGATATCTGTGAGTCTCTCCTCTGTTCTGAGGGTTAAATGGTATAAGACCAGTATTTAGTAAGGGACGTAATTTACAATTTTAAAGAATCTCTGCAATTTGGACTCAGATTTGTTCTTTGTCAAATACTTTAACAGAGATATAATGAAAGGGGAAAAAGTAAAAGCTGACAGCTTTAACATGGCTGGAGCGGCTCTGTGAAAGTAACTTTTACTTTTGAGGGAAGTGCATGAACACATTTTTAGCACCAGAGAAGCTTCTTGAAGAAGCAGCTGAGCAGCACAGCAATGAAAGTCCATTCCTTGCCCTCAACGGATTCCATTTCAATATGTTACATCTTAGTTTTTCAGCTAGCAGAATGGTTGCTTTACTGCTCACGCTGTATCTGCCTTATGAATCTAGATTTTAATATGTTTAGGCATATGTCCTCCGTCTTACAATGATTCTGAAAGACAGCAGTATTTTATTTACCTATCAAAGAAACAAAATAAC